GCACAAATCTTCCATAGTCACCCAATTCAATATAAAACAATAATCATTTAGTGATATTTTTTTCCCGGAACAAATGATCACTTACTTTTGGAAGGATAATTCTTAAATTAACTTTAAAGTTAGTATATGCTCACTTTTAGTATATATATATATATATATATATATATATATATATATATATATATATAATAAATTTAAAAGGGACAAGCCATTGCACAAGAGATCATTTACGTTGGAAATTATAAGGGACAACAAGTTTTATAGAACTCATTAAATTTAAATTTCATCACTCACACTGAGAATTAAAAAGTTACTATAGTTACTATAGACATTCGAAATAAATGCCGCAGACATTGTGCATTGAATTTTAAAGAGAGAGAAAACACTTAAGGTAGGGGTGTTCATAAAAACCCGAAAAATCGAACCAAACCGAAAACCAAATCAAACCGACCAAAAAAATCAATACTTTTTGGTTTGGTTTGGTTTTGAATTTTAAAAACCGATCAAATTTGGTTTGGTTTTGGTTTTAATAAAAAAAAAAAACGAACCAAATCGACTATAGGAGTAGCTATTTCAAATTTATTATTACACCNTTCCGATCTCTATTTCAAATTTATTATTACACCTATAAATATGTATATTATTATACAAAGTTTCAAAAAATTTATGGTAAATGTTAATAGTTTGCACTTTTAATATAGTTCTTTACTTTTACATTCTAGTTTGATTGGTAATTTTGTTTTGTTTAATGTAAGAATCTATTTCGTGTAAAAAATAACATATTTTTAATTGAGTCCATAAATTATTTATCACTATTTCATTCAATTATCATCAGTATATCTTGGTAAATAATAGATTTCTCAAAGGGCAATTGATTTGATAGTGTTAAATGAAAAATGTGATGGCCGGAATATGTGTTTGGTAGTGTATGTCTTATTTAAGAAAAAATCGATAAATAACCAAAAACACCGAAAAACCGACATAAACCGAATCGAGAAAAACCGACTTAATTGGTTTGGTTTGGTTCTAATATTTGAAAAACCGACTAACTTGGTTTGGTTACTTTTCAGGGAAAAACCGATCCAAATCGAACCATGAACACCCCTACTTCAAGGTGTGTCGAATAACCAAGAGCCTTTATATGGTTTTCGCAGGATTTGGCTCACCTCCATTACAGTAACCTCCAGTTCCACCAGTGCGCATCTAGTTTAATGACATCTGTTCATTTTTAGATCTAAAGGTGATGATTCATTTAGACTAAACAGTCCCTTAACCCTTGTTAATTGGCTTGGTGGGTTAGTTTCAAATTGGAAAGAAAAAGTAGCTATCTGAAAATCTTGTTAGAATTTCGTTAGGTCGAAAGAATGAAATTTATTCTTGACCCATGTTTTAATTTTATTTTTTCTTCATATTAGCTTCAACAAAATATTTTAACAATGCAATTGTCAAGTACAAGAAACAGAATATAGTCCACTATTTGGTTTCTAAAAAATACAAAAAGGTGTAAGAACAAAAAAGAAGCTTTTATGGTGGTTATGAAAATAATATTTCATTCGAAGAGGGATTTTGGGGAGATGAAAGTTCGACCATTTAGAAATTTGAATCAATAAAAATAAAAATAAAACTTCATGAAAAAGGCCTTAATTTAGGGGTGTGCATTCGATTTATCGATTCGATTTTGACCCTTATCGATAATTACTTATCGATTGTCGATTTGTACATATGCTTATCGTTATCGTTTCAATAAGGTTTCGATTTCGATTTCGATTTCGATAACAAATAATCGATTCGATTTATCGATAAACCGATTTGAATGCACACCCCTACCTTAATTGTTATAAATAATTTAGTTACCAAAATGGCGAGATTCTCGCCTATTATATACCGTTAATTATAAGGAAAGGATAAAATATGAGGATTTCTTTTAGTTTAATCATGGTTTAAGGTTTAGACAAATAAAATATTGGACAGATGTCATTATATTAGACGTGCACTAGTGGGACTGGAGGATTACTGTAATGGAGGTGAGCCAAATCCGTTTTCGCAAACACCTGGTTGCTCTAAGTTAGAGACATTTTTCCGAGAAAACTAAAAGCTTTGGTAAATTTGACCACTCTAATTTTTTGATGGCAACGAAGAGTCATGTTGGTTAATATATATCGGTTCATTCTGCTTTAATGTATCTTAAACATTGAAGTAGGTACTTCCTCCGGTTCAAAATAAGTGATTTTTTAGTTGTTTTCACACATATTAATAAATCCACCTTTTAGCATTAATTAGAAATGAAATTGACCATATTAATTAACCTTTGTTATCTCTTCACATAAATACTCCTAACACATACTCCAACACTATTTACTCCAAGGGCAATGAAGGAAAAAATAATTAATTCATTCTTGAAATTTGAAAAAATCACTTATTTTGGACCACAAAAAAAAAATCCAAAAAATCACTTATTTTGGACCGGAGAGAGTAATTTTTATTTTGGTTAAGGGCGAAATGGTCATTAATTTTTAGAGGGTATTTTGGTAATTCAACTTTTAACTTAAGGTCTTCCCACTTTAGTATAGTATAGATAGATATAGATAGATAGATAGATATAGATTATGGGTTTAATCTACTATATGTTTCAATTTTAATAATTTTTTATACTCCCTCTGTTCCAGTTTATGTGAACCTATTTCCTTTTTAGTCCGTTCCAAAAAGAATGAACCCTTTCTAAATTCGGTAACAATTTAGCTTAAAGTTACAACTCTACCCCTAATGAGAAGCTTTTATAACCACACAAATACTCTGGGCCCCATTTGGACTTGTTTAGGACCACAAATTTCAAAAATCTTCATTTTTTCTTAAACTCCGTGCCCAGTCAAACAGGTTCACATAAATTGGAACGGAGGAAGTATATAATTTTAAATCCCGTATCGAAAATACTGGGTTCGGATAAACTACGCAACTGTGCATCAGCCTCTGGAAGCGGAAAAAGGGAAGAAAAATGGAGTTGATATAGTAACGAATGATATTGCAACCTCACTAGTTCTCAATTTTGAGTCATGTATAAAGTTTCACCAACTACTATAGAAATGTTTAGTGTCTATATACTGAAAGTGTAAAAATATCTTATATTATCAAGTCACCCTAAAAGTCATTAAACCTAACAGCTATACAATCAGTGGAATATAATTAGTAATGTGAAATATGAGACAAGTAAAATTCTAAACATGTTACATTGTATTTATAGTGTAAAATTCAATTTATACTATCAGTAGGTTTAGGGTAACTTGTTTGCAAAATGACTTGGGCAAAATAATATGGTACACCAAATTCTTAGTGCTTTTAAGAGGAGGGTGATTCTCCTACTGTAAATTAGGGGCAGACCTAGAATTTAGGTGATGGGTTCAGTCGAACTAATGACTAGAATCTCGAACAAATACGTTTCAAATCATGACTCCGTCTTTACCATGCAAATTACATAATGGGGGAGACAACTGAAAAGGATGTAACATCTCGTGAATGTGTCAGGTGAAACCTTAAAAGAGGACCTCTTTAGTTGACGAAAATGATTTATATCTGCTCCTATCTGTCTCAACAAGAAACAAACACCTACTATTACATACAGCCTCTCCTTTTCTTCATTGACCTCGTTTTTGACCAATGTCTTATTTCTTATTCCAAAAGCATATACACCTAATTGCTTGCTAAAAGGTTGATTACACTATTTGAACCAGAGAATGCCTACTATTAACAGTCTGTAAAGGGCGAAGTGTCTTTTGTTCCCAAATAATTCTTTATTTGTTTTGTGAAAAGAGAAGAACAAGAACATGCTTCAGTTATTATGTGGAAACTAGTATGTGTGTGTCATGTGTGTGGACTTGAAAAGCTTGGTAATATGTAGTTGAAGCTAATCTCAACGACGACAATGCTATAGCTAGATTTGAATCTACTATCAAGACATTTCAGTAGCCTTTTAGATCTTTTCAATAGGTTTACTTTATTTTTTAAGGGAATCGAGTTGAAAATTTTGGATGTGTTTGGTGCGAAGGAATAATTCATTTTATGGAAACAAAACACCAAAAAAATTATTTCTTCAAAAGTATTTTCCATTAAAAGTGAAAAAAGGACCTTCTTTGCTTATGTTTTTCTCCTATAGTTCGTTTGACGTGGTTACTAATTAATTTTAGAAAGTATTGGATAGTGAGACAAAGAATCTTTTGTTTTCGAAAAGCATTTTCTATCATACCAGATGGTTTTGAACAAGTACATGAAGGTTATAGTTATGTACTAGAAATGACGAAGAAAAGTTAAAAGAGAGAAATAGCCTTCTTCCTCGCTCTCTCGACGCAGTTTAAGCTAACGTGCGCCGACCTCGTCAATAGCAGGAAAGAAGTCACGCGGTCGTCCTAAAAATTAAAGCAATAGATCAAGGTAGATGATAAGATCCCAAGCTCAAAAATATTGGTAGTTCCTCATCTGCTGTCATGGAGTCAATCTCTGGAACTTCAAAAACACACATAGGAGGCGGAATTCTAACTCAGATCCCTTACGTTGGAGCCTCAGCATCTACAAGTCAACAGTAGAAACGAGCAAATCAGAGTCCTATTCCTATGCAAGTAAACTTGAGGATAGCGTTACACCTCCCCCATCTAGGGATGTTATTGTTCCATTGGGCAAGGAGCTTGAAGCTGAAAATCAAGCTCCAAAACCAGTTGATACTACATTGGGGAAGACGAAGGAAACTGAGACACAATCAACAACACACAACACTGTTCCATTGCCAGAAAATACTAAGGAACCAACTTGGGCTGGGATCCTTAATGGTAATCGATCAGCTGCGAATGATGCCTTTACACTACATTACTCCTGAAGTAGTAGAGGATAATCTTGTGGCCAAACTTGATAAATCATATTTAGAAGCTGAAACCCTAAAGTGGAAATGTTCCCTAATCATTTATGTAGTTGGGGAAAAGCCATGGTATAATTACATGCATCGATACATAAATAAGATGTGGAATACGGTCACTATGCCAGGACTTTATTCTCATGATGATGGGTATTACATTGTTAGGTTTCAATCCACGGCTGACATGAAGACAATTCTGTGTGAGGGACCTTACACAGTCAACAATAGGCCCATGATAATGAAACAATGGAGTCCACAGTTTGACATTGATGCAGAATTTTTAACTGAGATTCCTCTTTGGGTTAGATTTACCAAACTTCCCATGAACCGCTGGGGAGGTAGCTCATTGAGTAGAATAGCAAGCACTATAGGGATTCCATTGTTTGCGGATGAGTGTACTGCCAAACAAACTAGAATCTCTTATGGTAGAATTCTCATTGAGGTGAATGTCACTAAACCCCTACCTAGCAGGTTCCCTATTATGGATGATTCAGGCAGGGTGTTTGATCAGGCGGTGGAATATGATTGGAAGCCAGAATTCTATGGGAAATGCTTAAATATTGGTCATGATTGTACAAAGATTCGCAAGGAGGAGGTTAAGCAAATTCAACAGCCAAAAAGAATTAGACCACAACCTGTGAAGCAAGTGTGGAAGACTACATGAGTTGTGTTAGCTCCTACACATAAAGCTAATCAGGAGCAGACAAAGATGATGAATGAACAAGGACTTCCTACATGTGCTGTTGAGAGCATAGAAGCAGAACCAATCCCTGAAGAAGGGCAACGACAAAATCATGACAAAGGGAAGAAAGAAACAGAAATAAATGGCACACCTCTGAACTATGCACTAGCAGTTATGTCACCTGGTAAGCAAAGATCAAGTCAACAGACAAATGTAGCAGTGATGGCTAATTTGTCTGTACCATCTGCAGGTGGTACATCTAAACCTTCTTGATGTCTTGGTTGGTTTGGAACATTAGAGGTACCAATAAATGATATAAGCAGAAAGAGTTAGGTACCTATATTAGAGAGAATAATATCAAACTAGTTGGCTTAGCAGAAACTAGAGTCAAAAAAGATAAGGCTAAAGGCATTGCTAATAGGGTAGTGCCAGGGTGGCAAGCTAGATTTAACTATGAGAATGCTGCTAATGGAAGGGTCTGGTTGCTATGGGATCCTTCCTACTATGATGTATCAGTAATAGACCAGTCTGCTCAAGCTATGCATTGTGATGTTAGAGGAAGGATGAATCAACTGAACTGTGTCATGACAGTCATCTATGGGTTTAATACAGTTGAGTTGAGAAAGCCTCTATGGGTGCAACTGCATAATCTTGCTACACATATCACCAAGCCATGGCTCATTTGGAGAGATTTTAATTCAGTGTGAACTATAAAAGACAGATTATATGGGAACCCAGTAACTAGTAATGAGATTCAAGACTTTACTAACTGTATGCAATATTTGAACTTATGTGAGTTACCTTGGAAGGGGAAATATTATACATGGTCTAATAAACAACAAGGTGTAGATAGAGTTTTCAGCAGGATTGATAGAGCTATTGGAAATGATGAATGGATGAATACTTTTGGACATATGGAGCTGGATTATAAAATGCCTTTTATCTCATATCATGCTCCCTTGATGATCACCCTAAGGAAAGCTGAATCCGGTGTCAAGATTCCATTTAAGTTCTTTAATGTTTGGGCTGATCATGAAGACTTCTTGTAAGTGGTTGATGGAGTTTGGAAGACACAACTGCATTCAGATACCATGAAAGACATCTGGTGCAAGCTGAAGGTTCTTAGGTCTGAATTGAAGCAACTCAATAACAATGAGTTCAAAGGAGTAACAACTAAGATAGAGCATATCAGAAACAGGCTTCTGGATACCCAAGAGCAACTGAACAGAGGCTACACTGATGCAGTTGCATTAGAGGAGAAAAGATTACTTGAAGAACTGGAAAGATGGTCACTAATAGAGGAAAGCATACTTCAACAGAAATCTAGAGCTAAGTGGATAAAGCTTGGTGATTCTAACACCAAATACTTCTCAGCTGTAATGAAGGACAGGAGTCAGAAAAAAGTTATTGCAGAGCTTACTAATGCCTTTGGGGATAGACTCACTAAATAGAAGCAGATCCAGGTTTAAATAATTAGCTTTTATAAATCACTTATGGGATCAAGATCAGTTCATTTGCCTGCAGTCAACAAAGAGATAATGAAAATGGGATTTGTTCTCACACACTCTCAGCAGGTGAACCTTTGTGCTGAAGTCACTGAACAGGAAATTTTTGAAACATTAAATGCAATTGGGGATGATAAAGCACCGGGATTTGATGGCTACAATGCATTATTTTTCAAAAGATCTTGGACATTGATCAGGCCAGAAGTGTGTCAAGCAGTGGAGAATTTCTTTCATACGAGCAAGCTATTTAGAGCTATCAACTGCACAGCCATCACCTTGATTCCTAAGGTTCCCCATCCTACAAGTATCAAGGAGTATAGACCTATAGCTTGCTGCATTGTTCTGTATAAATTAGTTGCCAAAATTCTTGCAAACAGACTGTAGAAAGTTATTGCATCAGTTGTGTCAGACACCCAAGCTGGTTTCATTCCTGGTAGGAAAGTTGCAGATTATGTCCTACTGGCCCATGAGTTAGTTAAGGCTTACTCAAGGAAGAATATTTCTCCAAGATGCCTCATTAAAGTGGATATACAGAAAGCCTATGATACTGTTGACTAGAGATAGTTGCACCAAGTATTAAAATGTTTGGAATTCCCACTTCAATTTACCAACTGGATCATAGAGTGTATGTCAACAGTGAACTATATCATTCTCATCAATGGAGAGACAACTAAGCCATTTGATGCAGCTAGAGGGCTTAGGCGGGGAGATCCTATGTCTCCATTTCTCTTTGCCATATCAATGGAGTATCTGAGTAGGAACCTGAAGACACTTAAGCATAAGAAAACCTTTCACTATCATCCTATGTGTTCTAGATCGGACCTCACATATTTGAGCTTTGTTGATGATCTTCTTCTTTTCACAAAAGGAGATACCACTTCTGTTGTCCTATTGAATCAAAAGTTCAGCACCTTTTCAGAAGCCTCTGGCCTTAAACCAAATCTAACCAAAAGCTCAATATATTATGGAGGAGTAAGCAATGAACTGAAGTAGGAGATCCAACAAGCATTAGGGTACAGCCAAGTAGTATTGCCTTTCAAATATCTGGGCATACCCCTAGATACTAAGAAGCTATCAGTACTGTAGTGGCAACCCCTTATTGCCAAAGTTGTGAGCAGGATTTCTTCATGGACAACAAAGAAACTTTCCTATGCAGGAAGAATACAGTTAGTCCAAACAGTTATCTTTGGCATCCAAGCCTATTGGGCTCAAATCTTTATTATACCGGCTAAAGTCATCAAATCAATTGAAGCACATTGTAGAAGCTACATATGGTCTGGGGTGAATACAATAACCAAAAAGTCTTTGGTATCATGGGATAAGATGTGAAGCTGCTGGAGGATTGAACTTGATTAACTTGGCTATGTGGAATAAAGCTGCTATCACTAAAACTTGCTGGGAACTGGCCAACAAGAAGGATAAGTTATGGATCAGACGGATCCATATCTACTATATTTAAGAGCGGATTTTAAGAATATGGGAGTACCAAAGCAAGCCTGTTGGATGGTTTGAAAGGTCTTTGAAGCAAGGTACAGACTACACCTTATAAACAATTCTCACAAGGCACAGTCACAAAGCAAGTATACCTACAGCTACTAGTGTATTACCAAAAGTTCCATGGAAAGGATTGATGTGTCAAAACCATGCAACACTAAAAGCCATATTCATTATGTGGCTTCAGGTGCAGGGGAAAATACTAACAGCTAATAGACTGAAGAACTGGGGAATGCAGATAGAAGATATTTGTTGTTTCTGTCAACAACAACCAGAGACGCGAGACCATTTGTTTGTTGAATGTGAATATGGTAAATGCCTATGGTACAGGCTTATGCACTGGTTGCACATTCAGTATCCTCCTATAGACTCATGAGCAGCAAATCATCAAAGGATAGTTAAAAAATGAAGAACATATCTCAGCTAGCAAGAGTGCTTAATCTAGTCTATGCAGAGTATATTCATGCACTGTGGATTGAACGAAATTCTCGGATCTTTCAGAAGAAAACTACTGCATGGGAGGTCCTAGCTAAATGAGTGGCTTGCATATGCAACTTCAGAGCTGAAGGAAGTATGCGAGTGTTGCTTAGCAATTGTAAATACTAGTGCGATCTAGAATGTAGAATATTTTTCAGTTGAATTTTTCTTTTATCTTGTAAAGTAGTCTGAGATGGTCTACCCTAATTTGTAAATATTACATTGGTGATCAATGCAAAAAGTTTTATTACCAAAAATAGAAATGACGAAGGGAAGATTATCTTAGAATTTGCTTTAGTCTATGATTTAATGGTAGTTAACACATATTTTAAAAAGAAAAATTCCCATCTAATAGCGTATAACAGTGGGGTAACAATAATCTAATAGACTTTATCCTTACAAGAAGACAAAATAGAACCACATACAAGGACGTAAGGTTATTCGGGGAGAAGCGATGACCACCCAACATAGGTTAGTAGTCTTAAATGTAAAACCTAAGAGTAGATTGAGAAAAAAGATGAATTACAAACTACACCATATTAGGTGATGAGCGTTAAATGGTGCTAACCAATTACAGTTTCATGAAAAAATAGGGGAGAAGAGAGCTTGAGATTTAGAGGGACACCCAGACATTTTGTGGAAGGAAATATTAGCTTGCATTAAAGGAGTTGCAATAGAAGTTCTAGGTGTATCTAAAGGTCTAGGACCCCGATCACAGGAATCCTAGTGGTGGAATGAGAAGGTACAAAGAGTTTATTAAAGCTAAAAGAGAGTATTATATATATGAAATTTCCAAAAGTAGAAGATGGAGAAGTCTTTGAAGAATGTAAAAGAGCTAAGAAGGAAGCTAAGAAGGCTATTAGTAAAGCCCGAGGGGAAGCTCTACATGGCTTGTACCAAAAGCTGAGACGCAAAAATGGGAGAAAGAAATGTTTAAACTAGCAAGATTGAGAGAGAAAGGGGTAAGAATTTAAACCACGTGAAGTATATTAAAGACAATTCTCAACAAGTATTGATAGGAGATAATAAGATCAAGGAGAGGTGGAGAGGATATTTTGATCAATTGTTCAGTTCGAACTAATAGAGTAGCATTTTAGACCTTCAGATGTATGTGTGCAGTGGAAACTTTAGCTACACTCGTAGAATTAGGCCGACAGAAATAAAGGATGCCATGAATATGTAGATTAGAAAAATTTGTGGTCTAGATAGCATCTCTATAGAAGTTTGGAAGTATCTTGGAAAGGTTGGAGTAGAATCGTTCACAAAGATATTTAAATACTAATAGGTGATAGGATGCCCAAAGTGTGGGGGAAGAGTACCCCGATTCAAATTTATAAGAATAAAGGATATATTCAAAGTTGTGCGAACTATCGTGACATTAAATCTTGAGTCACACAATGAAATATGAGAAAGAATGATAGAGCATAAACTTAGAATCACGTCATACGTGACATAAATCAGTTTGAATTTATTTCTGGTTGATCTACAATGGAAGTCATATTCTTGCTAAGAAGATTAATGAATATTTATCGCGAAAGAAAGAAAGATGTACATGGTGTTTATTAACCTAGAGAAAGCATATAAAGTATCATTCAAGGTCCTTTGGTGGGAGATAGAGAAGAAAGGAATTCATACAAAATATATAAATGCCATAAAGGATATGTATAAAGGAGCCATATATAACTAGCGTACAAATAGTAGTAGGAGATACAACAGAGTTCCCTATAATAGTGGGTTTGAACCAAGGTTCGCCATTAATTGAAATGGAAGTGATATCGGGGTGTTATTTAATAGAAAGATGCCTACCAAAGTAAAAGGTAAGTTTTATAGAATAGCTATAAGAACAGAAATTATTATATGATAGTGAATGTTGGGCTATTAAAGTCCGACATATCTAAAAGACGAGTATTGTAGAGATACGGATGCTAAGATGGATGTGCAATCATATAAGATTAGATAAGACTAAAAAAGACTGCAATCTCCAGAAGGTGCAAGCAGCACGCATTGATGATAAAATGAGACAAGGTCGCTTGAAATCGTTGGTCATGTCTTGCGTCGCCCTACAGAGGCACCAGTCTATAGGTGTGAAATTATGGTGATTGAAGGTCCTACAAGATTTCAATGTCTTGCGTCACCACGGGCGGAAGCACAAGCCGGCCTACCGATTCGACCGAACCCAGTAGCTTTTGCTCAAACAGCATATCATGAAATATGTATAAATATTAAATCTAGAACCCAGTCATTAACACTTGAAGTCGTGGTCCCAAAATCCAGAACCCATAAGGTTGAAATCCTGGCTCCGCCTCTGCATCACATGGAAAACAATTATCTCGCAAGACCTACAAATCCTTGAAATCAATACTGACTTAGCAAGATAGGACACAATTGAAGAAAAAGATCCATATATTTGATGCTTACTAGAAAGGAATAGGCTTGAAATTTGTTATATATATATATATATATA